CATTGACCAGATAGGGGAAAATCCCACGCATCCCCCCCCGGCAAATCGCACCCTGGTGACGACCACTATAATAAAGACAACATTAAAAACATTACATGTAGGCAGGGCTTGAAAACGAAAAAACTGCTGTAACCTAGGTACTCAATTCATGATTGGTCACTGCCAAATTCAAATATTAAAGAGAACGATAAAATAACGTTATTAACCGGTTAATGATAATTTCAAATAAACGTTTCTGTTCAGAACGATTAAAAATTATTTTGTTTTCGTTCCTTGAACCGGTTCAGAGCCCTGGCTGCAACTAACGACTATTTTAATAGTCGAGTAGTCACCGACTATTGAAACGATTAGTCGACTAATCAGATAATTATTACATTTTTCTAAAATTTTGCATGAATTGCTTTAATTCTGTGGAAAATGATAGTAAACACAAGAAATAAATTTCAATGAAAAATGCATATTTTATTGAACTTTGCTGCTGATAGGACGATTAAAAGTAAATAAAAATGCCCTGTCTCAAACCAATTAGGCAGAGTGCTTGGTCAGTATAGACAAAAATATATAAATAGAGAAACTCTATCATTTTTATAAAGGCCAGGCACATTTGTTTTACAAGAAAAAATAAATCAAAATCAAGTAAACGTATTGGCTTCCATGTTATTTGCCCTATTTTCCGCACTTTAAGGCGCACCTTCAATGAATGACCTAGAACATTTTTCATATATAGGGCGCACCGGATTATGAGGCGCATAAGATACTGCAGTCACACGTTTGACTGGGTTTGCGACTTTGCGTTATGCATCAACTAGATGTGCTAAAGGGAATGCAGTGCGCGACGCCGGAGCTGGTGAGGCGTTTATTAGTGTGAGCGCGCTGGGGCATGCACGTAATTTTCACAGCCTGACTCATATATGGGCTATATGCACGCTTATACCATGGTCTGGGTGAATACTCAATTCTGATTGGCTGCAGGGTGTCTGTTAAAAAGTGATAGAGGACACCTAGTAAAGTAGTTCTGGTGAAACTGCCTGTTTACCATTCGAAATTAATAAATAAATGCGCTGTCTACAACGGCTGTGAGTAACCATAGCAACAGGCAGTCAAAGTATCCGTTACTTAGATATTACATACATAGCCTACTAATACAACAATGAGCGACTTCGTTATTTCTTTTAACTAACATTTATGGAGAATATGACAACTTTTACGACTGGGATGCTGCTGAAGAAAGAAAAAATGTAAATAAAACGGAGAAACGTCGCAAAGAAAATGACACCGCTGCTGCTCTGAATGAGACCCTGCGGGAGTTTTACGCAGCTGTCCAGACAACTAAGTCAGGAGGAGAGTACAGCGTTTCAAGCCTAAGAAGCCTGTTTGATTAATTGTTTTATGTGTAATAAAAAAAATAACTATGCCTACCTTTGTGTTTCATGAAAAAAAAAATGCATTTTTGAACCTGAAGGGTTCTACAAGATGAGCGGACTATAAATATCTCCGGGTGCTAAATAAGTTAAACCAGGCAAGTTATTATTTATTCTGTTAGATGTGTACTTACATTATCCCGACAGTTTCCACCAAATTTCAAATACGGAGAAATTTATAGTTTAATTCGAAGACACGGGACGTTTCTTTATTTCCGTTTCGTCGCCCGTCTATGGCGTCATATAACCTTTGACTCCTCTATTTTCTCTAACTTCCTTGCGGAACCCGGCGAAACCGCCAAACACAAAGGGGAACACTGGACTACCGTCAATAAAGCAAAGAAAATGACGAAGAAAAAAAAGTAGTACTTATTTTTATGTGTGTAAATCACGTGCCCGCTCACGAGCGCTCACTCTTAACAGACACAAGGTGTGTTCGACATCGCCTGCGGCTGGATGCAACCGATCGGCGAGAACAGCCGCGTGCAGGCGGGGAGGACCTGCAAACGGAGACGTGAAGTCGGACAATTTCTGGTCCCCGTACTGACGGCTCACGTGGTGTTTGCATGGTTATACCACAGCTAAAGTGAAATAAATGCAACATTTGCCAAATAAATGGATATTTCAGACACATTTTCATTCAATACTTTACTGCTTCATAGAGCATCTGTTTGAACTAGAATAAAGTTCAAAATAAGCCTATCTGTTTTCTGTCATCATTAAAGTTTGAAAATGTATTGTTTTTCCATCATTTTGAACATTTTTACATTGAACAAGACAGGTGTAACAGGTGTACAACAGGTGTCCAGTCCGGTACCGGATCGGATGGGATGGGGTTCCGTATCGTGGGAAAATTTTACCACGATCACGTGACCAGTCCAGAAGTGGTGGTGAGGGGGCGTTGGTGGGTGGGAAGAGGAGGGGAGACCGTGGGAATTTTCCCACGGTGTACGTACAGTCCATAAATGGGAGGGTAAAAAGGGTGCGGGGCTTATTTTTATGGGGGGCAATAAAATTGTCCCTTTCAGTTTGATGAAAAGCGCCCCATATTCTCTCTAAGGACTTCGTCAAATGAAAACAAATCGCGGACACACTAGGTCCCTCTCGCACACGATCTCGGACACAACTTAAAAAAAAAATTATACTCAAACATCTCTGCGAATTATTTACTGGCGTAATCATGCGACACATCGAATCGATACTGAAATTCGTTGATAACTCTTTTAATAATCAACTTTATCGATTTGATGTTGCAGCCCTATAAACAATATGAAGCTGGTAACTGTTTAATTAGTGCTGGTTTTACAATTATACATTTCTAAAATAGTGTAATAAAGACAATTTGACCCCCTGTTCTAAATTGAAAGTTATATCCTCATTAATTATGGCACATATTGATTATTAACTATGGCTAAATAATTTGTCTTTATTAGTACTGTATTAGTAGTAGTTAAGCCATAATTATTGGCATATGAAACTGTTTCTAGCTTCATATTGTTTAGTTAACTTAATAGATGATGAATCACTGAAACATAACATTACAACACAAAAATAATATATGGTTTGCTAACTTGGAAATAATGACCAAAATGCATTAACTGTACATTGTTAATCATTAATTACTAGCTGTCTATGTAATGGCATTAATTACTAATGGCTAATATGTCCTTACTACATGTTAAGTTAAACATTAGTTACTAGCGTGTTCGTGCTTAAAATTGCCGTCAGCAACACTTTTTTAAATTTAATATTCATTGAGATCTTCACTAGAAACCGACAGAACAACATTAAGTGGTTTGAGAAAAAACAGAGCTTTTAACTCCATCTGGAGCGTATTATTTGTTTTGCAAAAATCTACGACTCCCGGATCACTGGGGGGTGGGGGGATTTTTAAACATTAAAATTTTTGCCTAAGTCCACTCAATCTGCCATACTTGCTGACTGCAGCTTTAACTAAACTAATTTTCTGCAAATAAATATGTACTGATGGTTTGAGAGTGATGTTCAGTACTGTTGTTTCACATGCGGGCAGCTTATGATCCTGTGTTTTCAGCTGGATTCACGGTAAATTAAACAAGCTGTTCTAAGATGCTGTATCATGAGCTGTATGCTTGTAAATAAAGTCAGCGCTACGCTTCCCTCTGAATATACTAATGCATCGCATCCTTCTTGCCATGCATCACGTCACTTAAACAGCTTTAAACTTTCAGACTTGGCTCTGTTTAGAATCAACATGAACTGTTTTTAACTTGTCTATTTTTGTTCATAAAATGTCATAAAAATGCATGTATTATTATTACAGTTGAATGCATTATGTAACATTTTGTGAACCCAATTGTAACTCTTTGTAACTTGTAACTGATTTTTTAAATGTTTTAAATGTTAAACATTTCACATCGCAATGTTTTCTTGTTTTTATCTTTCTTGTTTTTAGTGACTGAAAGCGTTGAACATCGTGGGAAGAAGAGAATGTGGACAAAAGCAGAAGTTGCTGCTGTGATGCGGCATTTTAAAGTGCACATAGCTAAAGGCAAGTTGGCCACAAAATCTGAGTGTCTTCAATGCAAATCTGCTGAAGAGCATGTGCTACAAAGCCGGTCAGTACAAAACATTAGGGATTATTAACCGCCTCGTGTTATTTACATTTAACTTTGTTGAATTGACTGATTTCCAATTATGTGGTCAAGTATTCAATGTAGCTGATTTCAAGCTGATTTTATCTCAAAATGTATTGTGCCCTTTTCTGATAATTGTAAATAATTATTATTATTATAAATATTATAATAAATAACAATACACTTACTTCACACCCTTGCCACTAACAATAATAATACAAACAAATATTATATTTAAAAAAAATTGTTGGCAGTTGTCAGGGTATTGTGAATTACCTATCTGTGTTATGGTGTTATATAACCAGTCCACTAGGGGGACTACGAGAGTTCTAAAGGTCAGCGTAATACAGCGAAGAGTAAGAGAGTTGATTCTGATGTAAACAAGCTGAACGCAGTTGTTCCATGTGGCTCTTCAATAAATCGACAGAACACAAGTAATGCCTCCTTGCAAATGCTTATAAGACATTGGGCAGCACTTTATTTTCGCTGACTGCGAGATAGGCCTATTTTAACTTTTGATTAATAAAATGTTCTCCTAAAAGTTTATATTCTAGTTAAAGCTATATTCTATTTAAAATGTAGGCTACTTTTACATAATTACGTTTTGCTTTCGCTAAATGTCCCTTTGCGCCACCTGGTGGTCATTTCGCCACCGACTTTGAAATTCGGCTGGTTTATTTTGTACTTTATAGGAGATTTAAGAGCAAGGTAAAAAAAAAAAAAGGGTGTGTGTAAACTCTATACTTCAAATAACTTTTTCATTTTACCTTCTTGGACAACCAACCAATCACAGTCTTCAAAAGATTGTGTCACGCATAGCAACGGGGTCAGCCCCGCCTTTTCACTAGTTTTCATCTTTTCCTTACTCAGAGTTGCTCTCAGATCGGCCCCGAATCGGTCTTAAGCTAAGACTCCTATGTAAAAGGCCCAGTTATGTAAATAAAGGTCTCCTTTAATTCAAGAAACTGTATCCCTAATAAATATATACAGTTTGCTTGCTTTATTCATATTTCAGAAATGCTGAAATAATTACATTTCTTTTAGTTTTGCATTTGTCTCAAAAGAGAATTGAGTTTGTTTCATAATGTATAGTTTTCCAGTATGGAAGCTTGTTTTCACCATGGAATAAAAAAGAAGATTTTTTTCCCCTTCCTAATTTTGAGATTTAATCTTGCAATTCTAAGAAAGTCAGATTTGATTAATAGGTTGCAGTTGTGGAAGAGCGAGCTGGGGATGGAGAGAGACATGATGGAGATGGATGCGTGTTAACACCAGAACACCAAGAATCCTCAGCAGAGAACCTAAATGAGAGGTGAGTAATGGCTGCTAATTTACAGAGAGAGGAGAAAAAAAACTATTGGTGATTTATGCTAAAATATATAAACAATTAATACTCCGCAACAGCGATGAAAATGATGATGAGTCCTTTGAAGTCCCGATGAAGAAAGGCCATGCAAAAACATCTGCTGATGAATGTGCTGTGTAATTTTTATTATATGTTTTGTAAAAAAAAATCAGAATGTTGTTTGTTTCCGTATCAGTGAAATACTTTCTATCTCTGTAGTTCCAATAATGGGTTAGAAGATCCCCTTTGCGAAAGTCCAGCACAACCCAGCCAAACTATGGAAGTTGTAAGTAACAGTATTTATTATTGTTATTGTTTTTTTGTGTGTGTGTAACATGAGAAAATGTTGATGTATTGTCAGAAGATTTTTTTTCCCCTTCCTAATTTTGAGATAATCTTGCAATTCTAAGAAAGTCAGATTTGTGAGAGAAAAAGTCAGTTACCTTTTTAATTTTTTCTTTATTCTGTGGCAGAAACAAGCTTCCATACGCAAAAAAGGTTCAAAAGACTTTGTTTAATTTTTCTAATTGTTTGTCTGTGATGTATATACATTTACACACACAGAATGGATTTTGTTCATGTAACTGCATGCTTGTGTATGTTAAAGGATTAGTTCACTTCAAAATGAAAATTCTGTCATTTACTCACCCTCAAGTTGTTTCCATCTTATGAATTTCTTTCTTCTGTTGAACACAAAAGAAGATATTTTGAAGAATGTCGGTAACCAAACTGTTGATGGGCCCCATTAGGGGTGTAAGAAAAAATTGATACTCTTGAGTATCGCGATATTTTATTGTGCAATACTGTATCGATTTTCAGAAACACAATATCTTTTTTTTTTGTGGCTATGCACACAAAAGATGCGCCAGACGCACCACTAGCCTAACGTTTTGCTAGAAACAACATGGCTATGGCTGAACCCAGTGTCAAGACCCGGCTCCTGCTCTATTCTTTTCGGCATGTTAATCAATGAGTGCGTTCATTCACACCGCAAGCAGTAGCCGTGCCCGTCGAAGCTCGAGCAGGACCGTCGCGTGAGCAACAGTGAAACGGGGGTTTCGGCAGAGAGTATATAAGGGCGTCGCACACCAGACGAGAAGCTCAGCACCACATCTTTAAAATTCGAACACATTATTCTCTATGAGTGTACACCGGCGGCGCCATTCGGCGTCTGTCCGCGGCGCCCAGCAACGGCTCAGGGCCGTGTTCAAAATCCTGCTGCGCCACAGAGCGCCATTTACATAGTTTTATATAAAATTTAAATTATTTTTGGCTCAAATCGTTGCTAATGTCTCCTGACTTCGCCCTATGCTGCAATATGCATTTAGTTTTGCATCCATTTACAGAAATCAGCTGCTTGAATGACAATTGCTGATGTTATTGGATTTTCAGCTAAGATTCTCAATTCATTCAGTGAACGGATGCTCTGAGGTTAAGACTGCAGACTAAACAACGATTGTATTTTATTGTACAGTACAATCATAACATAGAACAGACATTACCTTCATTTCATGTCATTAAACATAACAATATTGCTGGCCATACACTGATGAGAAAGTGCACGTCCGGTGTGGGATAGTTATGCCTACCTGGAGTTATCCTGCGTGGTGCAGCCGCTGCAGCGCTGCGCTTCTCGTCTGGTGTGCGACCTCCCCACCCCCCCTGTCTATTTTTAAGTTTATAACCAACTTCTAAAAACACATTTAACCAATGGCTTTTTGGCTCTTTTTATGGCTTTTTCTAAAATTATAGTCCTACTTAAAAAAAATAATCCCAATATATCGCCTTATGGACAGTATCGAAATATATCGCAATATATTGAATCGTGACCCATGATGCATATCGTATCGCCAAATTCTTGCCAATACACAGCCCTAGGCCCCATTGACCTCCATTGTATTTTTTTTTTTTCCTATCGAAGTCAATGGGGTCCATCAACTGTCTGGTTACCGACGTTCTTCAAAATATCTTCTTTTGTTTTCAACAGAAGAAAGAAATTCATAAGTTTGAAACAACTTGAGGGTGAGTAAATGATGGCAGAATTTTCATTTTGAAGTGAACTAATCCTTTAAGTGTAAGAAGTATAATAGAATAATGTACAGTCTACAATATATACAACAATATACATTTTAATGATTGTTTGTTACTTTCTCAGAAAATTAATAAGTCTCTTTATTCCATGATGTCTCTTTTCTCCCATTTTTTTTTTTTTTTTTTTACTCTGCCTTTGTGTTCCAGACTTCATGTGATGAGCATATCAGCATTGCTGATAGAATATATCGGGAATGCCAGCAGAGCGGACCACTTCGTTTTTTTGAATGTGTCCCTCCAGCTGGCATGAACCATTGTCTAAAGATTGGCGAGGGGACTTTTGCAGAGGTCTTCTCAAATAACGCCTTTTCAATATTTTCCAGGATGCCGAGTGGGTGAACAAGACCAAGCTGGGTGGCAGATTTGTGATCGGCGTACAGAGGGAGAAAACCTCGAGTATGCAGATCGCTCTGAGGAGGAAGCTGTAAGTTTTACTGTACAAACTGTTGATTTCTCACCACCATAGTTTTAAATGTAATAACTCATCTGTCTTTTTTCCGTAGTGCTTGGAGCTGTACTTCAGACGAATCAGGCCTGAGAACATTCAGCCGGAGAAACTCTGCAATAGTTTCTTTGTTTCGTCATCCGGCGTGGAGGTTCAAAGTGTCTCTCGGGACATGAATCGGCTCCATAAATTGTAAGTGCCTTACACGGGTCCATGTGTGTGTGTGTGTGTGTGTGTGTGTGTGTGTGAACGGATACACTTCTTTGTATCTTGCCTCATCACAGTCACATCACAATTAATATTTCCTTTTTGTTTCTGCAGGTACAAGCTGGCTCCTTTCTCTGCCCAGTGTGTGCGGAGGGCTGTTGAGGAGGCTGCAGAAAAGCTCCCGGCGCAGCAACAGGAGGCGCTGCACCATTACCTGTCCATCAGCGCTGGTGCGGTCCGGCCGCAGGATGTCATCAACGCAGCTCTGCTGCTGGAATCATTAGTCAGGTATACATCTCTTCATCCAACCATGGCATTACTCATCACAAACAAAGTAACGTCATTCTGTCTTTCAGCACATTTCACAGTCCGCAAGCCTTCAGCCGCAAAGGTGGCACGGCTTATTACACAGGAGGGATGGAAGGTCAACTGTCCCAAGCCGGAGGACATCGAACGGCTGTGGACACCACCTTCGAAGGCAGCAGTTGAAGATGACAAGTTCATCATTCGCTGTGTGTCTGAGCAGAACTGGTCGGGCATGGCCATAAAAGACTTTGGTGACGAGCGTGGTTTTGGTAAGAAAACCTTTCATTTGTCTTGTAAGGGCAGAAAAAAACAATAATGTAAAATGTACAATTTAGCAGCCAATAACTGCAGCAAGAACTACATTTACATTCTGAACTGTGTGTCTACATGTAATGTTTGTTCATTAATTAAAAAATGTAATGTGTTCTCATTATTTTAGGAGTCGTGGCAACTCAGACTTTTTCAAAGAACGACATTGTTTGCGACTGCCACGGCAAGGTCATCCCAGCTGCTCAAGGGAGGGCGATGGTGCAGGCCCAGCATGACGAGGCCGGGTACATGTTCTTCTTTAAAGCCGGACAGAGAGATCTCTGCGTCGACGCCCAGACCTTTCCGTGCGAGTGCCACCCTGGCAAAGACACCGTTGGGAGGAGGATAAACCACTCCACAAAAGCGCCCAACCTGAAGCCCTTTCACTGCAGGTTACGTGTGAATGGGGAGGACAAGGACGTCATCCTCTTCAGGGCACTGAAGGACATCAGTGTGGGCGTTGAACTACGGTTCGACTACGGGGTCAAAAGGAAGTCCTTCCGTGGAGAGGGCCTACACCTGGACTGGCTGGATGGTTGAGAAGGCCTTCATCAGGCTGGAGTGGCTGGACTTTTGATTCCTGTTTTAAGGACTAGATTTTGCTGGACTCTCACAGACCATTTGTGTTACATTTTATGACAAAAGACTGGGAACTGTGTATGAACTATCAATGTTTTATTTGTCAACTGTGAGCTCGCGAATGAACTATAGATGATTGGACAAAATTGGGAGCTTGCGTATGGACTTGATGTTCATGTAAATGGAGCCTCAATAGACTCTAAACATTGTAGTTTCATGTAAATGGAGCCTCAGTTTGACCAATGAAATAATTGACTTTGATCTACGTCCTGGAGCTGGAGTGGTTGGATCTCTGACAACTCTACCCAGGCATCCCAGGACAGTGTCTCCTTCCATCGTCGGCTCCTCAGAGCTCCTTGAGGGATTCTGGAAACGAGCCAGAACCTGAGAACAATTTCCATAAAGTTACGCATCTCTTTAACCAAGCATTCACATATTGCATTAATATTATGAACATCAGCTATGCTAATTATTTCCCCTCTGCCTTACTGCTGTTATCTCGGGACGCTTGTCCCGAGAAAATAGGAGTTTGTCAGCTCCAGTTTGTATCCAGCCTCTCACAGAGACTTCAGATGCCCCAACGCCTGTGATGAGAAGACCAACGCCTGTGAAGAGACGACTCAATGCTGGCGATATGTTATGCCCTTAATATTACATGATTATCTAAATGTATTTTTTTCCCTTTTAACTTTCCTTATATACACTTACTGTAAAGCTTCTATTAAAACAATATGAATGTAAGCCAGAGGAGAACTGGCCCCGACTGAGGCTGGGTTCTCCCAAGGTTTTTTTCTCCATCCAATCTGATGGAGTTTTGGTTCCTTGCCACTGTCGCCTTTTGGCTTGCTTAGTCGGGGATATTTGTTAATAAAATGTGCAAACAACATGCAGTGAATATAAATTCTTTTATATTGTTAATACTGTGTGACGTGTGTTTGACCATGTGATGAGTGTGTTTTTCTTGTGAAAACAGTTTCAAGTTAATAAAGTGTGCAAACAACATGCAGTGTGTCCTCACTTTCTCTGCTGTGCTAAAATGTCTGTATTTAACTCAAATCTCAAGCTTTCTTTCTTTCTTTCTTTTTTTTGCATCAAATTAATCAGTGAGTTCTGTACTTCTCAGTGCTGATAATCATTAAGCTGTAATTGGTCAGAGAAGTGAAGAGACCGCCTCAAACTGCGCAGTTTATGTTATTTTCTGCCAGTAATTTCAAGTTTCTCACACCAAAATGTCACTGTCTCTGCTGTGCTAAAATGTCTGTATTTAACTCAGATTTATTTGTGCTACTCAATCTGTGTTTACAGCGTGTCCTTGGTAAGCATCTATTTACACATTTTGTGCAAGTAGTTTGTGTCAAGTATGGGCAATTAGGGTAATATCATAGAACATGTCACCACAATGGTTAATGCTTCTCATGATTTGTTTTTGTAGAACATTTTGGTCAGCATCCACTGTCTGGGCCAGGCAAACAAAACAGACGAGGGTCCAAGGAAAAAAGGGTAATCCAAGAAAACAATGCTCAGCACCTGGATGGACAAGCAGGCAGGCTAATCGAATGGCAAGGTATTTATTTCTAGCACATCTCATACACAATAGTAATGCAAGGTGCTTTACATATATTTTCTGGTAATGAATGAAAGTCATTTTAAAGGGGTGATGAACTGAGAAATCAAATTTTCCTTGAGTTTTTGACATCTAAGAGGTCATCATATTATAATAATATCCTGTAAGTTTCAGAACTGAAAACGTCCTTGTTAGTCCAATAAAAGCTTTTATTGAACCAGCCTCTGAAAACGTCTCGTTTTTAAAAGTGGGGAACTATGACGTCAAAGAGGATAAAACACCACCCCCGCAGAAGAAGATCAACACCTGCTTCAACACGGCCGGTTTAGCCCCGCCCACCGATTCACCCATTACACACATAGCTAAGTAACATACATGTACATGCTGACCTCGTGATGACAAACTGGATCGAGCTACCGAGCAATACAGAATATTGTGCTGTGCAAGACAGTCGCTGCATAAGCTTCCTCTGGATTCCAATAGGACTGCATGGATAAACTTTATTTTTAATGACGTTCCAGCTGATGAGGTAAAACATCGTCGTCTGTTCGCTTCATTTCACTGAGGATTGTTTTGTCAACAAGACTGGATTTGCAGACCGATTAAGAGTAAAGAACGGTGCTGTGCCGTCTATATTGGATCTGACAGGAATTGTGCAACACACGGACTCTGGGTTGAACATGTATGGGCGAATCCGTTTGCTATTTTACAACATTGGACGTTTTCCCCCACGTGCACCGCCGACGGGTGAGTTAAACTCATTATAATATGCAAAACTGTTCTCCATCGCAGCAGTGGGCGTTTATTTCCAAGTCTTCAGTGCGACACGCCCATAAAAACCGACTGTTTTTTAAGGTAGGCTCACAACCTGGGTACAAAATAGCCTATTACTTGTTCATTTTGATGTTTTTGAATGCAAAAACCAAGCGAACATTATAAGTTGACCTCAGACAACAATATAATACAATTTAAAAAGCCAGTTCATGACCCCTTTAACAGAAGATTCAAAGGAAATGTGGTTTGGTTCTCATTCATAAACTGTGTGTTGGTCACATGTTAATTTATTCTTGCAGATTTTAATGTGCAATGTATGAGGTCGGCGTAACGTAACAAACGCTTCATGAGATGGGCTGGCTTTAACAAGCATGTCATTCTCTCTCTTTAAGGTTCATGAATAGGGTGACCACCCGTATCGCGTAGCGCGTGCGCGCACAGCGTTTGAAGCCCAATTCATGAGTCCCGCAAATTGAGACCGTGTCACGCATAATCAATGCTTGCTCAAAAAAAAAAAGAAGAAAAGTCGGTCAGTCTATATCCTCGAGACCCAGGCAGCCAAACGTTGTGCCTGAACAGGTTCACGTTCATGAACTCATATTTTGGGTGAACTGAACGTATTGTTTTACTGCCTGTCCTGATGAACGTTTCTGTAAACTCGTTCATTCTGGTGTCTGTGAACGCACGCTCTCTCAGTTTAACTTCGTTCAATGGGGTGCCAGATTTCTATAGAGCCTTCCAGGCGAAAACCCGGCTAAAACTCACCGTAAACAGGGCTTAATATGTAGCGAAAAAACACCCAATCTGGCAACACAAGCCACCAGTGTCGCACCGCGGCCGCCGTCGACAAAGGCGTCGTATGATAATTTAAATGGATTTTATAACGAGGTTGGTGAGGATGGGGAAAATCTTACATTTCTGTGCAAACTTTGAACTGAACTAGTTTATTTTAAAATGTGTGAACTGAACTTTGAACTAGTTCAGAAAGTGAGAACTTCCCTGGTTGCCACTCCCACGTGACCTGCTGACTAGGTTGATGTCAACTTTTTCATTGTTGTCATGACAGCGCACCTTCTTGTTCCGTGAACCTCGGAGTTGTGAGTTTAGACTTTTTTTAAAACTGTTCCTGTGGTGTTGAGCAACTATAATTCCTGTTAATCCTATAATTTAATATTTTTCTTGTATTTAAAGTGAATTAATTGTAATGAAAAATAAATAAAATTAAATAGCTAAAGTAAATCGTAAGTGGAAGTGCATCTGTCAATTCATTGAATGTTCAAAATATTCATTTTATTTAGAAAATAATACACATTGGTTGGCCTATTCATGAGTAAGTATGTATATCAGCAATTACACATGTTTAGGGAATAGGGCATTATTAATGTACAGTAGGTGGACAACCAGAATGTCGTTTACCGCCGCGGCAAGTGCCGCGGTAAATCTACCGTGGCAAAAATAAACCAGCCGTATTTCAAAGTAGGAATGACCACCAGGTGGCGCAAAGGGACATTTAGCGAAAGCAAAACGTAATTATGTAAAAAGTAATTTCTACATCTTCTACATTAAATAGAATATAGCTTTAACTAGAATATAAACTTTTAGGCTATAGGAGAACATTTTATTAATCAAAAGTTAAAATAGGCCTATCTCGCAGTCAGCGAAAATAAAGTGCTGCTTTCAATGACGCTATTGAGGAAATGCGAAGACTGAAGAGCGCTTCTCTCGCGTGCGCACACTGACTGCTGAACAACCAAACTTCTGGGCTTTTGTCAGTGAGAAAAGTCCTGGTCGAGTGGTAGAACTTTGGTAGCCTACAATCATTTTGATGACACTGTTTCAAATCCCACGTAAACATGTATTAAAAATTACCTTGCATTCAGTAGCGGAGTGGCAATCGGGAGAGTCGGGAGTTTTCCCGGTGGGCCGGTAGTGCTACGAGGCCGCGAGGGCCGGCCCGGTCTGATAAAATGTATTTATTGGAAGTTCGCCAAGCTAAGGGAAGAAAACAATTTTTTTTTTTTTACATTTTTTATAACGGAGCATATATTTGCACTAAATGGGTATTTAGGGTGTGGGGTAACGCCCCCGTAGTTTTTGGAAGCCTAGATCACAGCTGATTAGATGGACAGCTGTTGGTAATTGCCATGTCGAATTACAGACGCTTTAAAAAGGCGAAGAAACTGACAAACAGTGAGCCTGTGACCCGTGAACTCTGTTGTGCAGCCCTGTTCTCCACGTTCTTTTATGACCAGACGTAGTCGCGATTGCTTTTATTTGTTTTATTCTCCTGACTGTAGTATGAACCAGTGTCTGCTCGCGTTGAAGTGACGGTTCGGCTGTTGATTTGGTGGCTGCTGGATTTTGTTTGTCTCTACTGTGCTGGATTTCCTCTATTCTCTGCTGTGCTGGATTCATCTGTTCGTTGTTGGACTGGAATTCGTCTGTCTCTACTGTGCTGGATCTCCTCTATTCTCTGCTGCGCTGGATTCGTCCGTTCTTTGCTGGACTGGATTTCCCCTGTCTTCGCTTGCTGGATTTGGCTGTTCCCTGCCGTGCTGGAGTTCGTCTGCCTCTGCTGTGCTGGATTTCCTCTGCTCTCGGCCGTTCTGGACTGCTGTCTCTCTCTGCTGGGGTCGCTGTTGGTCGCGCTGAATTGAGCATTGTCCAACAAGACTGGGAGCTAGATGCGTCTACTTCCAGTTTATTGGTGAGTGTCAGAAATATAAGTCTTTTTAGTCTCAGCTATGTCCATTAGGCCAAGAGTATAAAGGCTTTATGAAGAGTTTATGCTTTGCTTGCACATTCCTCTGTATGTATGTGTGTAAGTTCAAACATCTGGAGAGTTTCTCCCTCTCCCCTTTCTGTTCTTCTTTCTTTTGTTACATATAGAAAGTCTTCTAGGATCCCTAGGTTCTGAGGGTATTTTCAACGGATATTGACCATATTCGGAGTTATTATATAAATGTTATACAACGTATATATGATATGGCATGAGGTCATATATAATTCTATTGGATAAGACCAGATAACTCCCCTTGATATTTTCATATATATTTGCATGTCACATATGGGGAGGCTGAGCTATCTTTTCTGGCTCCCCCAGCGCTGGTGATTTTGATTCTGTATGGTCTGTTCACAACTCAATAAAAGGACGTGGAGGAAAAGGCACTTGTTGGAAGTCGTTCATTTCTAACAATTTGGGGGCTCGGTCCTGGGATTTCTCCAAGCGGTAAGAATTTAATTTTTTCTCTTTTAAAAGAAGGGAGAGAGTTGGTTCTTACTGTTTGCTGAGAAAAAGTTATTGTTGTAATTTTAGTGCCGTGAAGTTTTACCATATTTGGTAAAATCCTCGTAATCGATTGGGAGAATGGTTATCCTCGTGTTTGAATTAATGCGGGAAGAGCAAAAAAAGGAGGTCTGATCCCCCTCACTATTTTTTGTTAAATTGGATTTCTCCTCATATCGTTGCGGGATGACGTCGTTCCTCGCGTTTTTTTGATAAAAAGCGCGGGAAGAGCACAAAAGAGAATTGCTACCTCTTTTGATGTTTTGGGTTTGACCTCGTGTTTTGATAAATACGGGATGAACAGAGGAAATTGATCACTTTCCCCTGTTTTTTAGGAAGTATCTTCGCGAGATATTTCGAATAACTCCGTTCATTTTTTGAGGTTGTGAATAGACTATACATAGGCCTAATTCCCCCCCCCCCCCTTCTATTTTTTCCTCCATCTCTTTGTTTCCTATCTGTACTAACAATTTGCCTTTGTTTTTTTTGTAAATTGTTAACTCTGAATTAGAGGAGAAATTTTTGTGTGGCTTAAAATGGGAAATAAAATAAGTCCGCCGCTAATTGATGAAACGCCGAAAGATTTTATGATTCGGAATGATCAAGCATTTTTCACAGAACCATATCTATCAAATTTAGCTGGCTGGTCAGCTGGTAAAACACAGCTAGATCCGTTTCCTCGTGAAGGTTCGTTCAAAGATGCATACATGCAAAGTGCTAAAGACATGATTTTTGGAAATTGGGGTGATCCAAATTGGGATTTTGATTATATGAAACGATCCTATAAAACATGGGAAACGATGAAAAAATACTGGAATCGCGGACCGGAGATAGATAAAACTGCAGAAAGAAATAAAGATCAAAAATCGTCTCCCTCCCAGGGTGCACTCAGTGCGCAGCCTGATAGAGAGACGCAGACCGCTCAAAATCCAGTCACACAGAGTGAGAGAAAAAAAAGTTTCTCTCACACTGCCGATGTAAGCGTCCCCCACCCTCCTAAATATGAGTCCATTCAGACTCCAGCAGTTTGTGAGACGCCTGTGAGAAATAAACTGTATCCTGATTTAAAGGCTGCGACTACGTTTCCTTTCGTGGAAACTTCAGACGGCTTTAAAGTGCATCCGTTGCCTCTTGCCGACGTTGTAGCTATTTGCAAAGAACTTCCAGATCCGACTAAAACTCCGCATCAGTATGTTTCAGTTTTGAAGCGACTGACAGCTTACAGTCAATTGACAGGGCGGGATTATCGTTTCATATTAACTAAAACACTCCCGGCTGAAATTACTGAGGAAGAATTAATAGAAGAAATTGATCTGTTACGTCCAATACATGACGCGCCACCGGCCCGTAGTATTCTGATCAGAGATTCAGAACCTGTTGATTTGTCGCGATCTTTTCGTGGAGTTCGCGTGATGGATGATTACGATGATTACGATGTTGATTGGGTGTGGGCCAATGCAGGTAAACTTCAACTTTTTTTTAAACAATTAACAACATTCTTAATGAAGTTGTCATCTGCTAAACAAGACATCTCCCATGCAGCTAATACAAAACAAAAAGCTGGTGAGAGTCCAGTAGCTTTCTTTAACAGATTTAAACGTGCTTGGATTGAAGAATCTGCCATCCCTGTTGATGATGATAATTGTCAGTTGTTTGTGAACACGTTTCTGAACAATATGCATGACGAGACTGCTCAATTAATTCGAATCACCACGAATAACTTTTTAACTATGTCAATTGATGACCTTGGCAAACGTTTGCGTGAGCTTTCCTCTGCAGGAGCCTTTGTCTCCTCCCGAGGTAAGACTCCGATAATGTTGCAGGTTGATGCCTCAGCTCCGAACCGTCCGGTCGGTTATAGACCAAAACCTCTAACATGTTTCTGCTGTGGCAGCACAGGGCATGTGGCCAAGTTTTGCAGGCAGAAGTTGGAAATGAAGCAGGCCAATAGGAACCAGATGCGTCGACGCTCTGATGGCTATAGGCCAAGGCCCCAACCTTCGTTCTCTCCAAGTCAGAAGCAACAGCCTGTGTATCAGACTGAATGGAAACGTGCATGAAGGGGCCCGCAGAATCAAGAGTCTGAGTTTTCACTACTTTCGATTCAATATCCAAATAAATCACATGTTTTGCCATTTCTTGAATTGAAAGTTGACCATAAACCATATGTCTTTCTGATTGACAGTGGTGCCTCTGTCTCCTCCCTAAGTTCAAATGTGTACTCAGGCTCCGTCACAGGAAAGAAAATTAATTCTGTGGGCATAAATAATGTTCCTGTGAAATGCGATTTGACACCATCTTTACCGATTACCAGTAATGACGTGCCGTCATTGTTTAAAATGCATGCTTTTGCAATCATACCGAATTCACCATTCTGTCTATTAGGTAGAGACTTGATGCATAAGCTAGGTATGAAATTGGAATTTGAATCTAACTCTCTGACACTTCTGTTTCCCGCAGTTTTCTCCATTACGACCGATACAGGAAGTGCTCTTGTTGAGGATTCATCTGCAACTGTGCTGACACCGGAAATTTCGGGTGTCAACCCTCAATTGTGGGCGAAACACAAAGATGACGTAGGGTTAATAAATGTTCAGCCCTATAGGGCGAATTTGATAACCACTAGGCCTGTGTTTCAAAAACAATACCCACTTTCAAAGGAAAAAGAGGAGGGAATTTCACCCCTCATTGAACAATTCCTGAGTCAAGGCATTCTGATCCGAACTCATTCACCTTATAACACACCAATCAATCCAATTAAGAAAGCAAATGGTTCTTGGCGTTTAACACAAGATTTGAGAAAAATTAATGATTTGATAAAACCACTTGCTCCGATTGTGCCAGATGTGCAGAATATAATAAATTCAATTCCTTCAGCACATACATTTTATTCTGTTATTGATTTAAGCTCAGCCTTTTTCAGCATTCCTGTTGATCGTGACACTCAGCCATTGTTTGCATTTTGTTTTCAGAATTGTCAATACACGTGGACGAGACTCCCTCAAGGGTTCAGAGATTCTCCGGCTGTCTTCTCCTCAGTAGTGCACGATACACTGAAAGATGTCAAACTCCCACCAGACACCTGCTTGCTCCAATATGCTGATGACATTCTGGTCACTGGTGCCTCTGAGGACATGTGTGCTGCTGCCTCAAAGATTGTGTGCAACATTCTAGCTGAAGCTGGATTCAAGGCATCTAAAGAGAAACTTCAATGGGTGCAGAGGAAGGTCACTTACCTCGGACATGAACTGTCACAAGGCAAAGTTCGTCTGTCTGCGGACAGGATCAAAGCCATTGCTACATTCAAGCATCCATCCACACGGAAGCAAATGCAAAGCTTTCTGGGACTGGTCAATTACTGTCGCCTGTGGGTGCCTAACTGTTCCAAGTATGACAAAATCCTGCGTGAAGCTACGCTGGGTGACATGGAGGACATTACATGGACAAGTGAGATGAATCAAGCATTCAGACATTTGAAATCCTCACTCTTAAGGCCGCCTGCCCTCGGCCTACCTTGTTACACCCAAGACTTTCATTTGTACGTGTACGAAAACGGAGGCACAGCCGCTGCAATCCTGGCCCAAGAGCATGGGGGCACTTTCCGTCCAGTAGCTTATTTATCTAAGACCCTGGATTCAGTAGCCAGGGGACTCCCAGCCTGTTTGCGTGCAGTGGCCGCCACAGCTGTCATGATACAAGATGCTGAAAAAGTTGTTTTATCGCATCCACTCATTGTGCATGTCTCTCATCAGGTAGGAGCCATCATGCATAACATTTCTACTCAACACATGACTGCCCAACGCCGTTCAGGCTATGAGGCTATTTTGTTAGCAACTGCTAATTTAACGTTGAAAGTAACTTCTGTTCTTCATGGCCCTACTGTACATTTGCACAGATTGCTGACGCAAGGTGAATTCGAGAGTGACGACCATGACTGCCTGACCAGGATCCAAACTTCTACTGCCTGCAGGCCAGACGTTTCTACGTCTGTCCTGGAGGAGGGAAAGCATTGGTATATTGATGGATCCTGCTTTAAGCCAAATGACAGTACATATTTGTGTGGTTACGCTATTGTTGAATTACCTGATAAAGTAATTGAAGCGCATTCACTGCCATATAAATCAGCACAAGTTGCAGAACTGATTGCATTAACAAGAGCTTGTCAATTGGCTAAAGGTCAGTGCATCAATATATACACTGACTCCAAATATGCGTACGGTGTAGTCCATGATTTTGCTAAATTATGGGAGGAAAGAAACTTCAAAACCTCCGACGGAAAACCAATTTCGCATCATAATGTTGTGGCTGAACTGATTAGTGCAGCACAGCAACCATTGAAGCTTGCAGTTATTAAAGTAGCTGGTCATAAAACAGGTGAATCTGATGAAGCCAAAGGAAACAGATTTGCAGATGAAGTAGCAAAATGGGCAGCAAAAGAAGCAATATGTAGTCCACATGTAAGTGAACAAAGCAATGAAGTGCCGATGATGAATTCGTCGTTGATTAATGATTTGGATGTTAAAATACTGCAAGCAAATCCTACTCAAGAGGATTTGACTCATTGGGCAGCCAATGAAGTGAAACCAGATCAAGCTGGTATTTTAAGAGATAAGCAAGGTAGAATCGCACTACCAGCATCCACAGTTGTAATGCTGTGCAGACATTATCATGGTGTATCACATGTGTCGAAAGAGAAAGTGATACAAAATTTGAATCGATCATACTGCATAGCCAATGTTCGAAGAAATACTTTGTTGATATTGGATGCTTGTCTAGTGTGTGCTCAAACCAACAGGCACAAGGCAATCCGCCATGATGCTTTACCGCATCCAGAACTTCCGTTCCAATATTTACAGATTGATTTTACACACATGCCTCCATGTGGAAATCACAAGTATTTGCTCGTGATTATTGATCGATTTACTAAGTGGCCTGAAGTTTTTCCATGTGGAAAAGAAGACGCGAAGACAGTAGTAAAGATTCTTGCAAAAGAAATTATACCGCGCTTCGGTATTCCGACCGTGATAGCAAGCGACAATGGAACTCCGTTCACTTCTAAAGTTACACAATTATTAGCTAAAGAGCTGAAAATTAATTGGCATTTCCATATCCCGTACCATCCGGAATCTTGTTCGAACGCCGAACGACTTAATGAAACGATAAAAGAACGTCTAAATAAAGCGTGTCTAGATACGGGAAGAAATTGGGTTGATTTGTTGCCTGCCGTACTGACGGAAATAAGAATGTCTCCGTCAGCCACTACAAAAATGTCTCCATTTGAAATTCTCATGGGTAGACCTTTCCCGACCCCTTGGGTCAGAGGTCGCGCTGGCAATCTTTCCACAGGTGACACGGAGGTGATCATCGCAGATTATGTGGATTCCCTTGTTAGAACGTTAAATGGCATAAATGGTGATGTTTCTCTCTCTCTCCCTCTTCCCTCAGAAAAGCCAACTCATCCCTTTGTTCCAGGACAGTGTGTCTAAAACCCACGAAGCTTGGGGAAGCGAATTATCTTGGGCCTGCCACTGTGATCGCTGTGACAAGGACCGGTGTTCTGACTGACCTCCAGCCGCAGTGGATCCATGCTAGCAGAGTGAAGGCAGCCCCGTCCCCAGGGAGCGTATAAGCCTATGTGGAGGTGGATATCCAGCACTTATCGAAAGGAGAACGAGGAAGAGAAGTAGACGAAAAAAGAAGAAAAAAAAAAAGAAAAACGAGATTGCTGATTGAAGTTAGCAATAAGTATCATTGAGTCCATCAAGTCATGTTTGCACAGTCGCTTTTATACCTGATTGTGCTAAAAAATCTGCTAATTTACACACAAGCGCTTATAAGCAGTGGTAATGAAACTTGGTTGGATGCTGTATTATCCGATTTATTAGGATGTTGATTTATCGTGCTATGAATACTTTCGTATCCTCTCAATATTCTCTAGCGAATAGAACTATCAAGTATTAATGATTTGAAGGAAATGTTTGATTGAAGGATTTTTTCGTGTATTATTCTGTAATAATGGACATGCTGATCATGTGATATGATAATTCTGTTATATGATAACTGTCATTATCAAAGGGGCCATTGTCAGAAATATAAGTCTTTTTAGTCTCAGCTATGTCCATTAGGCCAAGAGTATAAAGGCTTTATGAAGAGTTTATGCTTTGCTTGCACATTCCTCTGTATGTATGTGTGTAAGTTCAAACATCTGGAGAGTTTCTCCCTCTCCCCTTTCTGTTCTTCTTTCTTTTGTTACATATAGAAAGTCTTCTAGGATCCCTAGGTTCTGAGGGTATTTTCAACGGATATTGACCATATTCGGAGTTATTATATAAATGTTATACAACGTATATATGATATGGCATGAGGTCATATATAATTCTATTGGATAAGACCAGATAACTCCCCTTGATATTTTCATATATATTTGCATGTCACATATGGGGAGGCTGAGCTATCTTTTCTGGCTCCCCCAGCGCTGGTGATTTTGATTCTGTATGGTCTGTTCACAACTCAATAAAAGGACGTGGAGGAAAAGGCACTTGTTGGAAGTCGTTCATTTCTAACAGTGAGTGACGTCCTGTTAAATTATATGCCTTGCCTAGTCCGGAATTAATATCCATGCCGCAACTAAACTAAAGTGTTCCAGTATTGCTGTAGTTTTACCACTATTGTTTAATGCGTATTCACGAATTGTAGTGATTTAATTGAGTGTGCACGATTAATATTATTCCTATCGTGGTGTGGTGTTTATGCTGTGTTTCCTTACTGTGGAGATACTGGCGGCTGTTTTTTTTCTGTTGTGTGAGTGATGTGCTGATGCGCGTGAGTGAGTGACAGGTGGGCTGCTGTGTAGACGCTGCTGTATGGTGCCAGACGGACTTGGTTAGAGGGACGCTCGCGGACTGTGGGTGCTTATGGACTTCCAGCGAACTGTATCTTCCCGTTGCGTTGTCCAGCTTTTTAAAGTCAATTGAGAGTGCACGGTGTGCCCTTTCTTTTTATTATTGAAACAAGGTTGTAATAAAAACATTTCTATTCAAACTGCTGTCCGGGTAATCCTGTTGTGTTGCTCCCACCAAACTAAAAGAACTTGAAAGCCAGGGTGTTTAAATTAATAGAGTCCCAGCTCTTCAATTGGGTGGCGTAGTCGGGCTACATTGTCTGCTCACACATTGATCATGGCCAAATTACCGCTCTGCTAACGCGTGCGGTGTGAAACCGGCGTGACAGTTCCGTAGAAGTCACGGATAAGTGCGTTGAGTTCCGTCTTGGTGATTTGTTTAATATATGCTGCAACCGTTTTCACTACACCAGTCACCGAAGCATTTCACTGCCCACTGGGTTGATATGTGTGGTTGCTAAGGGTGTTGCTAAGGGCGCAGTGATAAATAGAACCGTTGGGTGAAGCGGTCATTGCCGTGTTTTATCGTGAATAAAGCACAGCTCCTGGCCAATCAGAATCAAGGATTGGAACTAACCGTTTTATAAATGTGCATATAAACTGCATATAGGTTTCATATATGCGCATATATCCTCATATAGTTTCTTTCCATGTGGGCAGTTTTTCCCTAAACAGAGCAAGCACTTTTAATGCAAGGTTATGCCGAATTTCAGTCTTTAATTAAAACGCCAGGAACACCTCAAAGTGTGCAAAAGCCAGGAGAGAGTGCTGGCAAAAGTAGAAGACAAATCAAATGCGTTTGTGGTGGCCATGTTAGATATTTTAATAACTTATTATTATTATTTTATTTTTATTTAATAATTACTTTGTTCATTGTAATGTCGAGTCACCACACTATAATAATGGACATGGTGAAAGTGAAGTACAAAAATATTCTACTTAATGGTAATTTTAGGCCTTATAGGCCTACTAGTCTCTTTTAAAAAGGCACTGTTAAATAAATGATTGTCTGTTTATAAAAGCAAACAGGAAAAAAGGCTGAGAAAAAACTAATAATGATGCTCCTGACCCTGGCAGAAGAGCTGACCCTTGGGTTGAATGTGAATTGGCCTGTTGTGAAGGGCATCCCTGGGTTCAGCTCTTCCAGACCCACATCAGGGACCAGTAGCAGCAACACCTTCATCACTGGGAAATGAGATTTACATTATCTTTGTACACTGTGAAATAATTTGTTGCTGCATTAAATGAAGTAGACCTATAATCCAAATTGGCTGGTTTAGTCATTTCAACTGTTAAATCTTGAGTAATGATAAATTGTATTGTCTTGTGAAAGTAAAAACTGATAAACTTATGTTAATGTAAAAATATTATTCCATGAGCTATCAATCACATTGCACTTGAGAGTGAAGAAAACTTCTTAGATGACTGTCCTTTGGAGGAAGTACTTTAATTTAATTGATGGCTTTAATTGATCTATACTTGTGCCTATGCCTATTATTTCTGACAGGAGTCCACATGTACAGAAGAGTCTGCACACAGCAGTGATACAGGGGAGGGCAGTGTAGAGACAACTTCTCCTTTTTATTTGTTGCATGAGGCATGTGTGACACAAACGACACAGGGTTAAATTCGTTCCCTATATGAGTCTTCAACAGAAAATAGAGTATTTTGAAAAAACAAAAATCAGGGGGAGAAATAGAACTTGACTAAGTTGCACTAGAAATAGAGTTGCTTCAAAATAAACTTCAGAGTAAAATACACTATTTCACACAGAGTACTATTGCTGACCTTAATATCTCTTTTAAAAATATGACTGAATAACTGCTTGCTGCAAAGGTTCCACCTCTCTCACACTGACATCCTAAAATGCAAATTACACTGAATATCAGAGAAGATAAGGGAGAACATAAATAATACACACAAAGAAGTACCTGATATAACTTACCTTTTGAATATCCCCATTTAGGGGAAGATCACACTGCAGCGGGACAATGTAAGCAACAGCCTTGATAAGATTGCTGGTGTCCTTAAGGTATTTCACTGAATACCCTTCTGGCGGCATCACTATATCTATTAACTTTCTACTCCTGCAGCAACGCATCAACTTGAAGCCTCCAGCATGCCGCAGTAAAGGGAAAGACTCCTTAATTGTAATCAAAAACTGTTGAGGTGTGCACTTTACATCACAAAATCGGACCTTCTTTTTTCCCAAGTCCGTTGGCCTGGAGGCTCATATGTTCCTCAAGACTAGGAATTTCACTCGTGTTAACTGTAGCACAGCAAACAAATGTGTGCTCCCATGGCTGGGTGGCATGATTTTTTTTTTTTGAACATTTACTATAAGGCTGAAACAGCCTGCACAAAGATTCTGTGACCTTATTTGGTCGGTAACCTGAAAAATTACTCATGGAGGGAAATGGAAGCTGACCAGTTGGAGGCACAGCTGTTGGTGCTGAGGAAGAAGTGTCAGATCCAGCAGCCGACCCCATCAGTCCCACCTGTGCATGAGTCAGTCCAGTCACTCCGGCAGGCGGCCCAGCCAGTCCCGAACCATCTTGCACTCCACTTTGGTCCCTAAGAAGGCGACTCAACTCCATGAGATGTGCAGATGCCCTATATTAATGGACAAATAAAAATCATAGACCAAAAAAATTAATATGGCTGCAATCAGGCTGATATAGCAGATATATCAGCTACTTGTAGCTGAAAACATTGAAATAATGACATAGCCTGCTACCCCATTTCAAGTCTTGATCTACATCTGACTGAAAATCATAACTTTGTGATAAAGTTATGTCTAAGAGACAGACTACAGTAAGTACAGTGTGGAACAACATCATAGCAGAGTAGAGTGAAAGACTATGTCCAGTGGCCGCAGATGTGAAGTCATTGAAAGCAAGGGGTTCTACACTTCCTACTCCCTTTTGACTGCTGTAACCTTCCAAAATTTTAGTTGTAATCTTCATAAGTTCTGACTTTTCATTTACAAGTAATAGACTTTGGGATGCACTTGGCCACACCTATTTTCAAATTTGCTGCATTGACTATCAGCTTGAATGTACAGCAAGTTTTTGGTTAAATCTGTACTTTACAAAAAAGCTTTGCTTTGCAGACAATGTGTAACTTACATACAGCAGATAATAATTAATCTCCAAAATATAATGTTGTTATCATATACTTAGTTTCATTAATCTGTTATTACCATAATGTATTATCAATAACGTTTTTTTCCAAAAATCAAACTGTTGCAAGTTACGTTAACAACCCCATTAGTTAAATGCAAAAGTAAAAGTTAGGGTTGATTGTGGCTAATATCATAATCACTAATATTTAGGTCAAAATAATAAAATTATTCATGTTTCAAGTATTTTCATTCAATCAATGTAGTTTCAGTTATCCATAATGAATCAATTACCTCAGCGATGTGTTATGCCCTAAATTAATACATGATTAACTAACTATTTTTTTCTATGTAGATTTCTGAAATGCTTTTTCTATAAACAGGGTTCCCACACCTTGGTTAACATCAAATTCAAGGACCTTTCAAGGACTTTCCAGGTCCAATACCCTCAAATTCAAGGACTT